TAATAATAATAATAGAAACCAGCGCATGTAGTCTCAGTCATCTAGGACTTTAAAGAACATGACGCACAGAGGTCAGATCCGGTGGATGTTTACTACTTTCCAAAAATGTTTGCATTCACGCACTGACCCATAAAGTGTCATCCCGCAACATGTTGCCGGATAAAGGACAGAATTAGTTCCAGACATGGATTTGCTCTGGTCATTATCTGCAGGATCTGATTATCCTCTTCAAGTGTCGCCTCTTTTAAAGGCACTGACCCAAAACAAGGCGCTCCTGGCCCACGGGTCGGAGATCAGATTTTTTTTGTATCCAGACTGTGTGGAGAACATGTTTCTGAGCGCATGCTTCAGGCGGCTGCTGTAGGAGCTGGAGGAAAAGTCATCAGCATTTATCTGCCTCGGACTGAGAGCCGTCTCCCTGCAGGCTGCGGATCTTGGCAGGCGTCAGAAAAAAACAAAACAGTTCATAACTCTGAAGGAAATATTGCGCTCACTTCCGATTCTCGTCCATCAGGAATGAATAAAATTTCCTGCCGGGATCAGCACCGGATAAAGAAACCCGGGGATCCCTGAAACTATTTTTATTCGACTTTACTGTGAAAACAATACTAATAAAACGAACTAACGAAGTCAAAAACGTGATTTATATATTTATTTATTTATTTTTTACCATTTATTATCAGCAAATTTGTATCGATGATCGTCTGCAGGAACAACATCCATCAGGAGAATATATTTGGTTTTGGGGTTTAATCCCGTGACCTTCACTTTGAAGCTGGGGAACATTCTCCTGTAAAGAACAAACCAAACAAACGTTTTAGTGAAAAAATGTCTAAAAGTCTCCAGTTTATACATTCCATCTATTTTAAACAAAACCATAAAGAAACGAAACGTGTCTTTCACCTTTTTTATGAGTCCAACTTTTACTTCAAACTAAACCCAATTAAAAGGCGTACATTTGTGGGACCTGACTTATGTTTAAAGCCTTTATTTAGTTTGGAGAGGGAGCTTATTTTAAGAGAAGGGCGTTTTTTGTCTGAGAGGAACCATTATACAGTTTTTCTCTGCCATTACCCCCCCCCCCCCCACATATCATTTTGGTAAATCATATATTTCCCATACTGCAGAAAGTTAACCCTTGCATTAAAAGTACGCGCAGTTTCCTCTGGCTTGCAGCTGCGTTCAATAATTGATCTGAGTCATTTACAGTAACACGTGTGGGCTGTTTGCAGACACCAGCAGCCATCATGCATACATGTATGTTCACACTCCACCTGGGAGCTGACAGCGACGCACGCTTCCAGGCAGCACGCAGCGCACACATCCACAGCGGAGTGGAGCAGCCCTAAAGTCACACAAAACCAGATCTGAATGCAGCTGATGAGAGGATCAGGATGTGTTTTCGAGCAGAGATAAGTCTTCCTGTTGTCTCTCACGCTGATTGGTCCGTTTCATTCTTCAAAATCAGGCCACCCAGGCTAAAAACCTGTGCGTTCGGTTAAATGGTTCACCAGATGTTTTTTTTTACTCCCATGTTTCCAAATCCTCTAAGTTAAAAAATAAACTATCTAGTGTGTAACAAAACACGTCCAAAAGTGCTTCTTACCGTCCAGCTTTGGTTATAATCATTTCCGTGCCCACCTCGTGAAACTTCATCCATAACTCCCTCTCGTGCAGGTAGACTTTTATACCTTCCATTCCCTTCAAAATAAAACAAAAAATCGTTAAATATCACCGCTACAGGCCTGTTTTACGCGTGAGTCCTGCGCCTTTAAAACTCATTGCGTGGAATAAAAAAAAAATGTACAGTTTAAACGTTTTTTGTAATATTGAAATATAACAAAAGTTGAGAAATAATAGTAAGTTTTATGCGCCGGAAATTAGTTTAAAATTAACTTTTTGCGCTAAAGCTTGCTTGTATAAAACTTGTGATGACACGACCAAACGTTTTAAATCCTATTTCTAGGCATTTCACAAGACATTTTTAATTTAGTACTTCAAAATTTGTTTTTAATTTGTTTTACGTCTGAAATGTTATTTTTTAAAACTCAATAGACGCAGAACAAGAACAAGAAAAATAATTGTTTAAATGAAAGAAAAAGAAAAAAAAACCTAAATTTGCATTTTGCAAATGTAGGTGAAAACAAAAACCAGTTCAGTTTGAATAAATGTTCAACTTTAACCGTTTTTGTGAGTTTGACCCCTGAGTTTGTGGCCTGCAGGATTCAGGGCCCTCGCAGACACACATACAGGAGCCACACACACACACACACACACACACACACACACACACACACACACACACACACACACACACACACACAC